ACAGCATCCAGGATTACTTAATCCTTTTTACTCTTTACAGAGACAGGTTTTAAAAGGATATGCATTTTAATTATCCTTTAAGATGGGTATTAATTTTGGCTGGTGGACAATTCTTAAACTTATAGAAGTCGTGAGTTTGGAAACTTGGTTCTATTATATTCTTTACATTCAATTTAAATTATGTTTATTATAGGGTTTAGTTATTGCCTGTTTAATAACAAAAGGGGTGACAGATCACGAGGCAACAAAAATATTCCTTTATCTTCAAAAATTATCCAGAGAATGGAGCTTACTGAATAATGTGACATGGGATAGGGTGGGAGCAGCGGTAGCTGATGCAACCTACGGGGGATTTCTGATAATAACAATAGGGTTGTTTTTGGGGAGGCTCTTCGGGGAACTTCCCACAAAACGAAGAATCACTGAAATCGTTTTACTGGGCATAGGAATTATTTTATTCGTTATTCTGGGTATGTACTATCTATGTTTACACTTCTGTTTCTTTATTGAACTGTAAACAGGATGTAACAAAAAAATATGCATCTATTAGGCATTACATATTTGATTTAATTACAGGTAGTCTGGAATTCGCAGCCTTGGATTCAGTTCCACACGATCTAGTAGATAATGCAGCAATATTGGGTTGCTTTTCTTTGGCGACGGCCATCTTGTTCCTTATAGACTTGGCAGGACCCAGGAAAAAGGACACCAAAGAATCTATCAAAACAGAGTCTAAATATTCCCAAACCAAAATTGGATCCGACTCGTACGAAATCGAATCTGAGAAGAAGCCTGTCACTGTTATCAGCCAAGAATACCACGACGGACACATGTCGAAAGATAAGCCTACGATCCATGGATATAGTTACACAAATGGATTGAGTCAGACCGATTTGAATAATAAAGTGACTGTTGGTGGACAATACGGACTGAAGCAGAATGGCTATCACAAATTAAATGATAAACCTTTGGAGCCTAAGTTCGACATTTATGGAAAAGACAAAAGGAAGTCTACCGATTTTGAAAAAGATGCCGAAGTCGATGAAGTCATATCGCAAATTGTTAAACATGAACCTGTTTGGAGTAGAATAAGAAAAGGTAAGGAATTGGTTTATCTTTAAAGAGAAGAAACGTATCCAACTATGGTGTAGGTTTGTGTCTAATCAGTGTATTGTATAAAACAAAAAGAATAAACATTTTTTACGTTATAATGATTCATTTAACAGTACTACCTTTATATTCTAATATTTACAGGATATCCCACGAAATAATACGAGGCAGAAGCATGCCGCATATGCCAAATTATCACTAGTAACTTGAATATGTTTTAAGATCTTCTACCCTAGGCTACACGCGCATTGGGACTGTTTTGTCGCCCATGTAAAGTTAGCGGTAACATACGAATACAAGAGCATTAACCGACACAACACTTTACAAACTTTTCAGTTGAGTTTTGTCATAACTTGTACCCTACCGAACAGTTGATCGATAGACCTACAGCATAGGACAACAATGTCTGACCCGATAAGAGAACTGTTTTTGAGTTTATATTTTTGTAGTTTTAAGATAATAATAATTATTAATTATAACAATGACGTGCGGTGGACATCATGTATGAAGAAGCAGATTTTACCAAAAAATTAAAGAAAGCCAGCCATGTACTACAAAAGTAAAAAAGAATACAGTGATTGTAATGCCAAGGAGTTTGCCACGCTCATTCTATGGAAGTTAAAAGTGGCTGGCCCCGTAGTAATAGCTGACTGGTTATTGGATGAATCCAATATCTTCTATTCTTATGCTTTATTCTTTTGCATCAAATGCATTTTAATATTATCTCAGATGCAGATTATTTCTTTTTCAAACAACAGTTTACTTCGTATTCGCGCACAGAAGCAACACCAAACAGTTTAGTTCACTAATGCGCTCATAAGCTACTTGGAACGACTACAATGTTGTTGAACAATTTAGTTGCAGTGTGTGCATAGCCTTATTCCTTGTGCTACATGGCACTATTTCGTGGGATATTCTGTACATACAAATATAAACTAAAACCTCATATACTCTGGTAAAGGAGCCTTTAAGGAAGTTCATGTAGCGTATACAAATTTCGAAACATTTTCTTTGGTTCTAACCTTTTCATGAAGATAATCAGAGCTATAAGTGGCTTAAAAAGATTTATTAGAATAAAACCTGCATACACCATCGACGTTTCGTTTCTGGCTTGAGTTTTTTTTCAAGCGAAACGTGGGTGTAGGTTCTATTCTAATAATAAACCTTTTTACGTCGTAATCAGTTCTAATTACATTCCCACTTGCTTGAGTCTCCCTCTAGTTCTTTTTATTCTCCTTATAAATGTTTTTTTTGCAGGAGTGATTAATTTTGAATTTTATCGATCTGTAAGCATTAAGTGATTAATTATTTACGTTTAAAGATGCAAGCACACCCTTTTAGTTAACTTAGAGGAAGTCAGGTCACGATCTCATTGTAATTGTTTTTATTGCATCTTTGTACGCATATGAAAACCTTGTGCCGGTTTTCAAGATTGACCTTCACATGAGTACTTTATTGTACAAGTGTCTCATTTTTTCTATAATTATTTAATCATTGCTACCTTGTCGAATAACAAGTGACTTGCTATTGATTAACTGCACTTTTTACCATATGATTTTAATTAAGCAAAATTCCTATGCGGTTAATCGGCAACAGACAATATTATGAACTTATTGTTATTTACAACAGATCAAATAGCTAAGTAGTAATCACTTCATAAATATACTGTAGCAGTTTTATATTTCCTTTGTAATAAGAAAACAAATGTATATTAATTACTTGGATATAAAAGCCTTTGCGATAATTAATTTTTTAATGAAACTTCTTTTTAATCAGGTTCATCTCTCAATACCTGTATAGTAGGTAAGAGAGCGTATGCACCACGACAGTGCACTACAGCAGTACAAATGTTAGAAAAAGATCGACATTTTTTAAATTGAGTATCTTAGTTTTTCAACTGCGGAAATCATGATAAGTTGCACCTTAGAATACGCCTTGTCACAGGATCGTCAATCCTAAGACAGGATGGACACGCACCTCCACTCTTTCCTATCCTGAGCTAATCTTCGCATTTCCCTAAAACTAGACCATCCCACATATCCTTAACTATTTGTGAACAGTAAATTACTAAATTCTCTATGCACGGTATCCTCATGATTCATCTGTAACACCATATTTAGATACAACAAGACAAAGTCACAGGGGTCAGACCTGGGGAATACAGTGGTTACGGCATTATTAGGGTGTTGTTTTTGATCAAAAATTCTCGCATAAGTAACGATATGGGAACAGGGCTATTATCATAGTGCGAAAGTCAATTTTTGTTCTTCCACAAATCTAGGCATTTCTGGAAAACTGCTTCGCGCAAATTGTCCTTACCTTGCAGATAACAGTCCTTATTGACCGTTCTACCCTCTGACAAGAACTCATTATGCATCACGCCCCTGTACTCGAAGAAAACCTTCACATTCGGCCTAACTTGGCGCGCTTATTTCGGTCTTGGCTCGTGCGGCAGCTTCCATAGAGATGATTGAGCTTTGATTTCCATGTTGTAACCATGAACCCATGATTCTTCACCAGCTAGACCCTCTGGGGCAAATTTGGGTCATCGCGGATGGAATCTAACAGCTCCTTAGCAATATTAATGCGATGTTGTTTTCGGTCGAAATTGAGCAATTTTGGTACGAATTTTGCGGCGACCCGTCTCATTCCCAAATCATTGGTAAAAATCGAATGGCAGGAGTAAATCGATTTCTTTAAGTCCTCAGTGACTTCTCTAATCATGATTCGACGATTGGCCAATATTATTTTCTTCACTTCATCAATCTTTTCGTCTGTTGTTGACGTGCTCGGACGTCCGTACCGCTCTTCATCTTTCACATCTTCTCGACCCAAAATTCGATACAGATTTTTTGACGTGACAACGTCTTATAATTCAATGGAGCCGGCTGCACGCACGAAAAAACATGACTCATGCCGCGTTACCTCGCTCTGAGGCGTTCCATTTAAGGCTTGAAGTGCAAGCGAGAGCGCGGAACGAGCGACAAAGAGGCACAATCGGCTTCCGCGTTCGGCAGCGTTCTCACATCTGTCTCTCTCCTACTTGAGTGAGCGATGCGTCCGCGTGGACAGCTGCTATACAATAATACATTTCCATTTACTTCCTTCTCCATATCCATACAAAATATCTATCAAACAAATAAAATTAAAATTTTCTTTTGAAAAATGAAACCATTCCATTAGTATTTTCTTATGACGTTGTCACGTTCAACTATCGTCAGTAAACCGACTTTACAGACAACCGATTTTTTATCCATTTTTTGGAATAAAGATCAGCCAAAACACGTGCAAGAAAAGCAGCTATCAAAAATTTACTAAACATTCAACATGACCGAACTTGTCGATATAAGTGAGAAACAAGACTACCTACATAACGCCACAAAAAATCGAAAATGGAATATACGTAACCAGCGGAAATTTAAAATTAGCGATACTTTTTGAACAGACTTCGTACACAGTACATAAGTCTTAAACACAAAAAATCAAAATTTAATAATCAAATAATTAGTGTTTAACTATCTTTGTTCCAAGCTATCGTATTATTAATTAATCGTTTTTGTATTTGTCAATTATCATTCTAATATAATTTGTATTAGGACAGTATGGAAAATTTGATATGACGCCGTATTATTACTTTCCATCGCCTGCACCTCCGGATTCTGAAAAGGTTCCGTCAAAACCAGGAGACCCAGGATACGTCCAACACACTGCCCAGAAATGGGAACACCAACCCAGCCATAAACCACCAACTGACGTATGACTCTAGCAAATATCTGATGCGCTTTAACGACATAGTGAAATGATAATGATTCAAGACTTCGACAATTTTTAAGACTTAGCCTTAAAACATTAAGGAAGCTGCAGTCCCATTTCATCTTTATTATTATTGTATACCTATGTTTCTACTGTATTTTCATTAAGGTGATAGTGATATATCTCAGGTACAAAAGGGATATTAAAATGTCATTATCATATAAAACAGATTGAATAAATGTGTATCCAAGATTAGACACATCTAACTGTAGTTTAATATCATTAATGGTATTAAAAACTGTCAAATCTGATTTTATTTGTAAGCACGTGTTTTTGTACTATTAATCTGCTAAGCAATTTTCTGTCAGTAGAGTATTTTGCATTGTATTTAGCTAACTGTCGCGTTTTTTATCTGCATAATTGTATACTTACGTTAGTTTTTTCTTTTTTTGCATTAGTAGACGGATACGTGTTTTAAGCGGTTTAGAACTAATTCGTTTGCATTTTTTATTATCATATTATTCTAGTTTTTTGTAGGTATTGACTACTCTAACTTTGTATTCACTCTTGCAGCCTTGATAATTTTCAATGTCGGAGATTCATGTATAGTGCAACCATAGAATTATAGGGATAAACACGTAAATAAATACGAAACGTTTTGTTTGTGAAGCCTAGTCCGTAATGTATTTAAGCTATACATATAACATACATTTATTTAATTAGTTACGTTATTTAAAGCGTTTGACGCAGGTAAAATAAATTACTCTGTGAAATTTCCATTAGTTTTTATGCTGAAACGCCGCACAAGACAAAGACCCTGATGTTTTTCAATAATTAATAACTGTACCTAACCTTATCAATAACATTTAAATGACCTTAAATTCTAATTGCGGCCATTTTAACATTTTAAGAAAATTATAATACCTAACTATACAGTTAATAAATTCAATCAGCAAAAGCATATCAGAACATAGCATGAACATTGAAAAACGTTTAGGATGAAGTAGCCCAAGAAATGGAAACGAATAAAGGGGCAATAAACAGGGGAGAATCGTGAATATATGGGGGACCTGGGATAACCCTTCTTGGGGGCTAAGTTAACTTATGAAACTAACTACCATTTTGTTAAAACAATATTTTGTTTAATGATAGAAAAAAAATTGGGACAATTGTTTGTAGTTGTGTTATATAAATTATAAATTTATTTACATCATTTTTTTATTTGCTAAACTTGCAATAGTATTTATTGTCTTCAATGGTAACCGGGGGCCTTTATATCCACGGGGCCATCAGCTGCAGCCCGAAAAGTCCAATCCAACTCTGGAAATAATTCAAAACGGATTGGGGTTGATGTTGTCGAAATGTATTTTACTTAGAAGTGTAGCTGTATCATACCGAAAGAAAGGATGTTTACACTTATAAAATTACCAGTTGAGACCAAAATGTTTTTGGATAGGTATAAAAGAAATTTGTGATATTTGCAATTTTTAGTAGGCAGACTTGCAAAAGCAACAGTATTTATCAGTAACTAGTGACCCGCCCCAGCTTCGCACGGGTGCAATGCTGATACTAAATATATTTTTGTTTTGTTTAGATTATTATCGAAAAGGGGAAATCTTCAAGAGATACCCCCTGAACATACTAAATATACTACAGAATGTCTTTATATACAACATTCACAGTTTTTTTGTCATTAGACAATACAAACCGGTACCGCCGCAACCGCTATGTCCCTGCATTTTAAATCCGTAATATCTCCGAAAATATTCATTTAAATTACATACTGTAAAGGGTCATATTGATCTATATTAAATGCACAATGTATTTAAAAGTACTTAATTGGATAAGAATTAATGCTATATTGCCTACAATCGCTTCGTAAATAAGCCATTTTTGCTCATAAAAAGTAAAGGATAAAAATGGTTATTGTGGGTTATCCCTAAGAGATAGACATATACCATCCCGGACTTTTTTGTAGACCGTTTTAAAATGTACAATACTGTAGTATATTATTTTGATCTATCTCGTAGGGTTCAGCCAGCGTTTGCAATGTAAGCGCAAAAAATGTGTTTATTTACGACATCACATTAGAAACCTCTACAATTATCATTGTTTCCCTACTATATTATGCATGTATTATATATATCAACCTTCCTCTTGAATCACTCTATCTTTTAAAAAAAACGCATCAAAATCCGTTGCGTAGTTTTAAAGATTTAAGCATACATAGGGACAGACAGCGGGAAAGCGACTTTGTATTATACTATTTAGTGATTAAACTTTTAACCGCCTTGTTGTCCTGACATCAGCTGTTTTTCATTAAGTAAAGAAATTTTGCTAATTTCACAATTGGAATTTAATCTACAGCAAAATTTTATCGAAGTTTCAAAATAATTAACGCATCCGGATTCGACAAGTTGATAGCAATGTAATCCTTCAGCACTCCTACAGTTTTAAAATTAATTACAGGCATTCGTAAACAGATCTCCTTATAGATATTAATTACGAATCTGTTTATTACTATTGTAGTATTAAAAAAATGGGAAACAGACAGGTGAAGTGGTTTGTTATAAATATTTCTCACGCCGCCGCTCTTTCATTGCAAGGACATCACGAAGTGCTTTATATTAAAGGTACAAAATCATACACTTATATAACAAGTGACACATTGTTTAAATAATTTTATTATTGTTATAAAAGAATGATGCATCAAGTTAGATTGCAAAACTTCCACATGGGCAATTATTTATCTCTGTCATTTTGCTAAACATATATATGTGTATAGATATACGTAGAACATATGATTCATATTTCGGGGCACACCCAACAATCTAGGATATCTACAATCTCGTAATTATGAATAATATTTAAATTTAACTACGCTCTGATTTAGTTTTGACAGGAAACATATAGATCTCATAATAATGAATAAAAGGCAGGTATTAAATATCAAGCAATAGACTAACATTTTAAACTTAAATATAATTAAATTTAATTTTAACATAACGTGGACAAAGACTGTTAGAAAAGTATAACAATTGTGTCGCCAGCTAATGAACCGAGGGGGTTCAGCTTTTTAGAACTCTTTCTCCCCCTTTTAATCACCCTCAGTCACACTTTCAACGACCCCCCTAGGAGATATTACGCCACAAACACTAACACATCCCCCTAGAAACGACTTCATCTGATTAAAAGTATATACAAGTGTATACAATCTCAATTAATAATTTTTGACTATTCAAGTTAAGAAAAAAGTTAAAATAAAATTGATGAAATGCGAACGTTACATTTCCTTAGACCCCGTTGTCATATTTCGTCACGCTAAGCAATACGAATCCCTTGTCGTTATTTGCGAACAATTTTATGAACGACTCCTAAACTAGAACAACAAAGGAGTACCTAGCTATTTTAGTTCATATAATTACGCCTAAAATTATTAATAATTGAATAAAAATAAAAATATACTATCAGGTACAAACTAGGGTACTATATATTGTATCTATAGTATTTCCATTTACTGATTTTAAAGTTATCTTATATTTCTGCTCAGTGACTACAATTTCATCAAGAAATGGTGGATGTGCCGGGTTATAAATTTGGATTATTTTATTCATCAGTTCTGGATACCCTTTTGAATAATAATAGAGACTAAAACTATGGGAAAACAATAAATTCTATAAAAAGGATCTAAGATAACCCAAATGAAACATCTTACATTGGATCCACACTCATTGGGGCCACGAAAAAGACCTTATGCATGGGGCCCCTGACGCTCAATATCCTCCACTGAGCTCAAGCCAAATTTCTGTAGTACAAATTCAACAGGGTGTCGTAAGGTGACATGTGTAGATGTTTATCAAATCATAGGAACTACAGAACGTCGTTAGATGAAATGAGTTTTTACGTTTTATCGAAGGAAATGTTTGACAATTTTAAATTAGTTTTAACCAATATGCGCAAAATTTCACTCCTTAGGGTGGCTCAAGTCAATTTAAAAATGCATGATATAAACGCGGTAGTGTGTCTAAGGGTGACATGAATTTTGACATAAACCTGTTCCTGGGAGAGGCAAGGAAATGATTCATAATTTCCTGTCCTTATTCATCATCATCATAAGGTCGTCAGTCTTAAGTCGGACATGCACCTCCACTTTTTCCTTTCTTTAGCTAATCTTCGCATTTCTCAAAAACTGGAACATCCTGAACTATTTGTGAACAATAATCTAATCTGCACAGATTTACCTCTATTCCTCATAAGACCTGTTTCTGCTTATAATATATCTCTAACTAGCTCTTCATGCCTGAGAAGGTGCCCTACCTCATCTATTGACTTCCGTAGTGATCTCTGTTCTCCTATTCTTCCTAATATCTCCTCATTTCTAACCTCCTCTATCCACGGTATCCTCATCCTTCGTGTGTAATACCACATTTCTAACCTTATCTTTTCCGCCGCGTCCACCATCCATGTTTGGCACCCGTACAGCTCCAAACACACACCTTCAACAGTCTTTTCCTTATTAAATATTTTCAAATTTGGAGTGGTTTAAACTGATTTATATTTATAGTGACGTACATTTTGACAAAACTGTGTTCTTCCCAAATAGATGAAAACGATTCATAATTTTGAGTTTTTGATAACCAATTTTCAGTTTTAGACATGCGAAAGTTTGCTCTTTACAATAGTTCAAAAGTGATTTTGCGAAATCAAAGAAAATTATTCGTAATTTCTAATCCTTTTTAATTAATATTCAAATATGGGTGCTCGTAATTTCAGTAGTCAAAAGAGAATAATTTAAAGTTGGGCACTTGCGAATCGAGAACCTGGAATCTCTAGTGCTGTCTAAATACAATTTTAAATCGATATAAATACTAATTTTACCCATAGTTGGTGTAATATGTCACAGAGTGTAACTACATATTTATGTACCGGTATCTATCTTCCTCCAATGGAACATTTGTTTTATTATTATGTAATCAAACGAGATCAATTTAATTCGTGCGTTTATTAATCTGTAAATAATTACAAAAAATACAAAGTCTTTCTTTATGAAAAACAAAAACAGTTCCAATAACGTAATATTGTATATCGAGTATACTCTAGAAAAAAATAAATACATACATATGTAAATCCAGAATATGAGCATTTTGAGAGAAACTTACATCTGAGTCAATCTTCATTATCTTCTTTAATAAATGGGATTAACAATACATTGCACACTTTATAAACTAATTCAATTATGTCGATCGTTATTGACTTGCTCTAAGTTTATGTATTGTCTCACTAGTCTGGAAATTTCGTGGGCTTGTTCGGTTTGCAACCTGGTCACTTTCTGTTGAAGTAGATTTCCACATTTCATATCAAGAAACAGGGCGCCATCTTCTGATCGTACTTTCCTCGTTGAAATTACTTCGGCAAAAGGCCAGTGATGGACAGTTTCGTGGGTTGCCATGTCCAAGAAGTGAACACCATTCTTGTTCAACGCCAAAATATACTCTTGCCAGTGGTCAATGTCTCCAATTACACGTTTAACGGCAAAGAAGGAGCTTCCAAACAACGGCCAATTGCTGAGAACCTGCAGAACTCGATGTTTTGCCCTTGGAAGCGATAGTCCTGCCGCCTGGCCCCAAGAGGTTTGAACAAGTGCCAACCATTGGGGTGGTCTCGGTTCTCTTATAGCCAAAACGGGTTTAGGAAGCAGAAACTTCACTTCCTTTAAACTTGGGGAATGTGTTAAGTCAGCTGATCTGTGAAGAAGAGCTGCCACCAGAGCTATATCTCTGACGGCGCTCGGAGAAAGATTTGGGGCCCCAAGTTTAAGTAAAAGTCCTTCTAGATAGTCTGGAGCCACTTGGTTGAACAGTACCTCTGTGTAGAGTGGACTTGTGTCATGTTTCAGAGGATAGTACCAAACCGATCTACAGAATATGAGATAAAAGGGTTGGCCGGCTTTTTGGAGTTCTGTGGTAACATCAAGTATATATTCATCGGCAGCCAATGGCATTGTGAAGGCATCTCCTTGAACTATACAATATAAACTGAACTCTTGTTGCTCCTCAATGTTGGTAATTCCAATTACGTTACAAAGTTCTGCTATCACATCTGCAACAACCGTACTGCACCTGAAATTATAAAATATAAAAATTATTGACACCCAACATAGGGGTAATTTCGGATGATTTACCTGGTGTTGACTACCCGTTCTGCGCCCCCAGGAAGTCGATAAATTTGCCTTCGGGCGCTTCTTCCAGCACTTACAGCAGTCACTTCTTCAACCGACGGAACGTTCTTCCTACCTCCACATCTTTGGGTTTTTCTGAGATTGGAAAGACAGACCGCGGCTGTTCCATGGCAAATTCGTCGACGATCGGATGCTGCGCTGGAGAGATGTTCCATCAGATACGGCTTTAACGTTTCGGAACAGGCAAAATAAGCGGCCACTACCGAAAGGAGTCGCCAAGCTCTTTGGCATGAGTCTGGATTGTCAGATTTGTTACTCGTTGTTTGTTTCATCAGTTGACAGTAGACTTCGTCTCTTAATTGGATGTGCTTGTGACAATGCTGAAAAGGAAGTACTTTACTGTTTATTGAAATAGTTTACAAGAACATTTAGATTAAATAAAACGAGGAACAATAAAAGAAGTAGTTTATTGACCAGGTGTGAGGATACGTTCTTGTTCTTGAATACCGATTTCTCTTCCAATTGGTAAACTGGAATTGCTTTATGTGACCACCTCATTATACCGAATAAGGAGACTACAGCAAGGTAAATGCAACAACAACCTACCATTACAACTTGTTTTGAAGATAACAGAATATCTTATAGTTCATCATAATCATTAAACCCGATATGTCTTCTAATTATTCCTTTTGGTATAGTTATACTTCAAAAATATTAGACATCCTCTGTCGTCCTGAGGAATTATTGTTCTCCAATTCACTAATTATAATTATTTCTGTAGGAATTGAAATTGTTGACTTACCATTAATACCGTGTAGACACATTTGACTTCTGTCATATCGGAGGTGAACGGGAGGTCTCCACAGTATCTCAATATACATTCAAAACATTCACATGCTAATGGAGTTAATTCTGGATCGTCTAATCTTAAAAGGGGTCCGTCCAATGGCGTATTTTGCCATTTAATTAAATCCGTAAGTTGTCTCCATGTCCAATCTTTGTGTTTGTCCTTTGATTTTGTTGGATTTTCTATCAATCTAAATATATTACACATTTTAATCAAAATCACATTTATTCCAATATCATACTGGATGGAAGTGAGGACAATGGAGAAGTGCAGAAATGGAAAGTCAGGAAAAAAATTTCTTCATTCTTTAGTAATTTCTGTAGTATAAAGGAAAAGTTGTAATGATCAAGTTGGGAAAGCACTCACTCTGAGCCTTGCCGAAATCGTTGCATGGCGAATTGAAGCAGAGAATATTTTCCAGAAGGTGGTACCGGACTCGTTGATGGTGATTGTGGTCTTTCATGATGGTTTCTTTGGGGACTGAGATGCCTTTCCGGTGATCTGGAATTAACTTCTCGAATGCGTTCAGGTTTTTCTACTGCTAAACTTTTATGGGGCGGCGAACTTGCTTTGGCTTGAACCTGTAACAAGATAAAGAATCGAACTTACAGTATAGTTAAGCATTTTGATGAATACCAAATGGAAGTTAATTGGTTTAATTTTTTTTTTGTTTTAGGTACAATTGTTTCTCATAATTTACTTCAGATATACCCATATTAGACGATTATCTTCTCTTTTACTTTCTCTTCTTTCTCTTAATGGAAACAAGTATGAACATCTACTATGGAATTTAGGCGTGAAATGAAGCAATTTAATAACTGTTAGTAATGAGGAGCTCACAGCAATAAATTTGTTGAAATTCTTACTATAAGAGGTATTATGTATATATTTTTAAACAAGTGTCTCGGTTTATGCACTTTAGCATCTGTTAAAGTTCACTATACATCAAGCGATGCAAATGAAGGCGTTTCAAAAGAGGACGTGAAAAAAAGAAATTACCAGCCTATAACTTTTTCTAGAACGCTTTGCCTTTGCTAGTTTCTAGTTGAAACGTTTTGATGGAAAAGGGGAAAAACATGTAAAATATTTCATATACCTAAGTATTGGTACCTTCAAATCCTGATAGGAAGTCACCTATATCGTCAGAGATGGCTTTAATAAATGCCTTATTTCTTATGACTTATAACGAGAACTAACTTAATATTGTAGTTGAAGAAAAACATGTTCTTGCATGCAATCAAACCACAAATGTAAATTTGTACGTGCAATATTGTTTTGTTGAAAGATTTACCATTATGTTCAGACTATAGACTTCTTCTTCATCATCTAATCTATAAGTAAAGAACTGTTTTCCATATCTTTTTTCAAAATTTTAGGTTCAGTAGTTTCAGCGATAAGGGGGAGGGGTAAATGGGCAATTTTCACCTATTTTCCTAAATAACATTAAAACTATTTATATTAAAATTATAAAAAAAAATGTATTTGAGACCCTTACCGCAAGCCCTTTCATTTGTTATGTCACACGGTACAGTTTTTAATTTCCTATTGGCCCCCCAGAAATGACCCCCATGTTCAAAATTAATTTATTTACGTTATGCGTCCGTGTTTGGGCCACAGAAATTCATATGTGTATTAAATTTCAACTTAATTGGTCCTGTAGATTCGGAGCAAATTGACTGTGATTGATGGACAGACAGACACACGAGTAATCCTATAAGAGTTCCGTTTTTTATTCGGACATACGGAACCCTAAAAAACCTGGCCTAAAACTTCAAATAATTCTTGGAATATTTATGAATAGCTGTTAAACTATTTCAAATATTTGATAATAATTATTCAGTGATAAGTATCAGTAAAGCCGTTAACAGAACGTTAAAGGAGGTAAACGCATTACGTTTAATTAGAATATTTACATATACTTACTTCTTATTATTAGTACTTAGTTATGCGTAAAGACGTAACTGGAAATTGTAACCGTATTATTTAATAAACATGATTAGCATTATTAACTGTAAACTGAAATTTAAAATTTATTTGGATTGCTTATTAATAAAATTATTCAAAATTACAATCCTGTATAATTCTACTTATATGTACTTGGTCCATAATAATATATTAATAGCGGTTAATGCCATTTGTGCCTTTTTCTCTGTTATTTTCGTTAGCTATAGAGAGACAACTTGTAGGTGTTCTCAATCAAAAATTGTATAGTTGACAGTAATATTTCTAATGCAATGTTTTCTTATAGCAAAATTCCAATTTTACAATAAGCAATTACAGAAGATAATAGCGACGAATTATACTTTTCCCATGTAACCCCCTTCCATAGGAACTTTTAAAAATTAATTACCAAGATAACAAGAAGTAATTAACGTGGTGGTAGTGTGACGATAGGGCACCATTGACGTCGACTACATTCGACTTAATAGTTTAAAAATTACTAAAATATACTCAAAATACTTTTAGCTAAAAGTACTTATTAGTATCAGTCTTTATAATTTTTGAAAAGAAGCTACAAGACAAACCAGAAATGTTTCTAAACATTAGCTAAAACGTCAAGTAGAATTTTCAAATTTACCTAGTTTATTTGAATATTTTGTATCGATGGTATAGAAATTGGAAGAGAGGGCAGGGGGCGTTTTGATAACAACAAACGACATTTTTGTCACATTTTAGGAAATCTATTAAAACATATCCCCCAGATTCAAAACATTATTTTTCCAAAAATCTTATCATTACTGTATGTAGGCTTTCAGTCGATATCCAATTAACAATCTTTAAATTAATGAGAATATACGTAAGACACGCATTTATTTATTTAAATTATTATCATAATTATTATTTATCAATTTTTAAAGTATCAAAAATAACTGTATGAAAATGTACACATTTTCTAATTTACAAAAGTGTTTTTGTTGTTACGGAATAATTGTTTTCTATTAAATAATATTAAATAACTTCGTTCAAATAAAATGCAGGTAATTTAATGTAATTTATCATAGCAGTCTATTTCTGTCGATTGTTGTTGGCCAGTTAAATTCGTTTTTTAATCGAGTAACATCGTGTATCTGAACAAAGCTTTTATTTTCCTTCTTTGTCTATCAAGAAGGTTAACATACTGTCGTTCCTTTATTATCTTGTTGTTTGCGATGAAGAGTTTCACGGATTCCAGTTTTTATGGCATTTTTTTTGAGAGCGATAAGAGACGCGAACGTACACGCGCATAACAAAAGAATATGCTTTCACTCGCAGTCGGCTGCCGTCAAAGAAATATTCGCATGGCCGACGTCGTATATGGTAAGTATTATATTTAATTAATTAAAACAATTACAGATTAGCAAGTTATAAGAATAAGTTAATACAATATAATATATAAAATCACACATTTAAGTACTTATGTGAAAACAATTAATCTCATTAGAATGCGGTAAGATATATTTAAAGCATAATTTGGTGTTTACGGGTATTTATAAAAGGAATACTTGATTTCAATTACGTTTTAAGAAACAAACAAAATTATTTCATCTGTCATAATAAATCATAAGTAGTAATATTCATTTGTTAATTTTGTTATTGTTTGAAATGATACTTTTGCTACTTTGATACAATAAAATTATTATGAATGTTAAAAATATAACACGTTCTTGCATGTATTTATTTAATTCGTCAGATAAAATATATATTTTTGGATTTGTGTTGAGGTATATGTATTAAAAACTTTTATCTTTTATAGGGCATTTCCTTCAGTAAAATGAAAATGAAAAGGTACTGTCTGCGAACAATTTGGCTAGCCGAGGTGTTACAATATGAGGTAAATAGGTAATTAATTTATACATTGACCTTTAGGGACGACGTACATACATATACATATATGTTTAATATGTACTTAATTTATATTAACGTTACAATATAGAAATATGGAGTAAAAATATAAAATAATAGTTGGGGTGGAGAGAACTTCCAGGTTTTTCTTATTTTTACTCATAATAGAGTAGTTTGAAAAAATATTACGTACTTAAATAACATTTTCTAATTAAAATTATTTTAGATATCAGAATTAAAAATATTTTTATAGATTTTCTTTCTTCTACTTTAACCAATTGTAGTTATTGTTCAAATGTA